CAGCTTGGTGTGAAGATGAGATAGTTGCTTCGAAGGCATTCTTACTATTGGCCTACCGTTCTTAAAGATTGTATAGAGTATGCTAGAGGTTGCCAGGCATGCCAAAAGCATGGCATGATAAGACATGTGCTAATAACTAATTTACATGCAGTTGTGAAACCGTGGCCATTTAGAGGCTAGGCTATGGATATGATAGGGAATATACATCCACCCTCTTTGAAGTACCATTGTTTCATCTTGGTGGCCACAGATTACTTCACTAAGTGAGTCGAAGCTAAACCATATAAGGCTGTAGGCTAAACTGAAGTTATTGAATTTATTAAAGATCTAATCCACAGACCACAACTGTGGATAATGGGACTGTATTTAAATCCCCCGGACTATTTGGTGGGATTGGATATGTATCCTGTGTTTGTTTTTTCATGGGATTAGATGTCTGGAAAGAACTATTTTTAGTGAATGCAACGTTTGGTTAGACGGACTGGATAGGATAAATGAACAAAATACTATTTTATCCTTTTTCAATTGTTTACTTAGTAATAGCAATATTAAAGATATCTTTAATATTTTAATTATTTTTAGCTAGCTTAAATAAAAAATTATTTTATTTTATTTTTTACACAATTAAATAAAAAAAAATTTAAATTAAATAAATAAAATATCAATAAAAATATATGTTATTTTTTAATTAAAATTTTAAATAAATTTGTTTTTAAAAACAATAATAATTAAACAAGGAAATTAAATAAAATATCTTTAATATTTTAATTATTTTTAGCTAGCTTAAATAAAAAAATTATTTTATTTTATTTTTTACACAATTAAATAAAAAAAATTTAAATTAAATAAATAAAATATCAATAAAAATATATGTTATTTTTTAATTAAAATTTTAAATAAATTTGTTTTTAAAAACAATAATAATTAAACAAGGAAATTAAATAAAACATCTATTAACATTTAAATAATGAAATTAAATAAAATATAAACAAAATTTTAAAATAAAACATCAATAAAATATCTATAAAAAAATTATTTAAAAAAAATAAATAAAACATCAATAAAAAATTAAATTAATTTATTTTATTTTTAAATTGAGACATTTAAATTTTATTGAATTTTACTAAATATAATACATAATTAAATAATAGAGGGTCAAAATAGTCATTTCATCACCTAATCCCAACAGTAAATAGTCCCTCCAAAATTGTCCTACACCCCCCTCCCCCCGGATAGTATAATCCCCCATATGGGAGATAAGGAGCCCGGCCGGACTCCATGTCCGGCAAACTAAAAAAAAAACATACTTACCCCGGATTACAAACCGTACAGTAAATAATCCCCCCTCCCTTATCCCCCAATCAAACACACCATAATTGTTTGATTCATTTTCTAACAACTTAAGTTCTGGAACTAGTCGTGATCTAACAAATTCTTGTCAAAATGACATATACCAACTCTGTATGATTTAAATTTCAATGGCACATATGAATGTGAGACCAAAGACAAGTTGTCATTGTCAGATAGCCTGACATATTGTTAAGAAATAACCTTCTACAGTATGCAAATTTATGAAAACAAAATTGTCAATGCTGTAGAAGGTTAATTTAGGCCTCGTTTGGGAACATGCTATTTTAGTAACTTTTTGACTTTTTAAGAAAAAATGTGCAGAAAAGTAGAGAGGTGATGTGACAATTTTTAGTAACTTTTTGACTTTTTGGCTAAAATAGCCACTCCCCAAACGAGGCCTTAATAAATATTTAATTAAGAGCCTTTTGGAAACATTTGATTTAATATGGTATATCGATTAGTGATTTAATATGATATTAGAGCTCAAGTTAGGAGAGGTCTTGGGTTTAAATTTTTTCATTTGCATTCTACTTTTCTCAGTGTATTTTTGTTTATATCTCTACGTGCAAGTTGGGGTTGCACATGAATAAGGGTATTAAATAGCTTAATATACATTATTTGATCCATTTTCTAACAGCTTGGACTTTTGGCAATTAATGAACTAACAGTCATCATCTAGAACATTTTTAGTTCTCATGTTTCATATAGATGACAAAGTTGAAGTAGGATTTTTAACGATGAATAGTGTTTCCACACACATTTTTCACAATTTGTTATTATAAGAACCCAAAGATTTATGATTATTCATAGAGAAAAATCCCCTTTCTCAACAATTGACATTCAAGAGGCATATAATTTACTATCTATATGATTACATTGTTCATGGGCCAGCACAAAATACTTTGTTTGATATTGAAACTTATGAAACCTCACAACTTCACGCATGAACCCAAAATTATAGTTGCAACTAAGGTTTTGAACTGCTCAGAACTTTGTACATGGTAAAAAATCTATACAAATTTTGAATTTGTATTCAAAGCAACATTCACTCGGGAGCAATAATTCCATGCTAGGCTGTAAATCCTATGTGGTATATCTGTAATATCTAAACAATTAATTATTTCTAGAAAAAAAAAAAAAAGTTAAGGACAAAATTAATTTCTCTAATATTAATTGAAAACTATAAACATGCCCCAAATAATAACTATCAACTTACCCTTTTTGGTGTTAGCTGCTTGATTTTGTGCCTCTTTGCTTTGTCTGGTGCGATTGGTTTCCAAAATTGAAAAAGTAGATGAATGGCCAACACTAATCAGTGTGTTTGGTTTGAGGTTTCTGGATTAAGTTTTTTGAAAATTGATTTTTTTGATTTTCGTGTTTTTTTGTTTTTAGTGAATATTTTTAAAATTTTAAACATTTTTTTTACTTTTTTAGATGCACCTTACTTAGATGTATCTAAAAAGTAAAATATTTGTGAAAAAATATTTTAAAAAATTAATAAATACATAAAAATACAAAAAATGTATTGAATTCTTATATTTTTTTTGTATTTTTGGTATTTAGTAAATTTTTTAAAGATTTTTTTTACAATTTTTTTACTTTTTAGGTGTATTTATGTTAGGTGTGTTTAAAAAGTAAAAAAATTACTAAAAATATTTTAAAAATTCAGTAAAAATAAAAAAAATACAAAAAATAAGAAAATAGAATTTTCTGAGAAGTAGAAACAAGTAACACTCCCCATTTGAGTGTGAGAGGCATTAGGTTATTCATCTACTCGTTGACATTATAACAATTTGGGTTTTTACGGCACCAAATACACGCCGTAGATACAATTCTACGCCGCGCAATGTAAAATCGTATTACGACTAGTCATGAAAAATCATTCATTTCAATAGCATGCCATAGTACGTCGTTAAAAACCCTTTAACAAAGGTTTCTGTAAGTTGTGTTTGATTTTTCTACAATTACTTTTACACGCCGTTAATCATAGAAGACAAAGCATGGTGGGCATTAATCCTAATGCTTTATATTATGATCTTCTAACTCCGGGATGCAGTTTTGGTGTATTAATAAATCAAACTAGTCCATTATAAAAGTTACAACTAATTCATCCAATTAGTCGAAGCTTTTCCATCTACTCATAACAAAACCAAGATTGGAATATCTTTCCCTCATGTGAGCAAAGAACATATATCCTTCCTAAATTGAAAGAAAATAGTTACATCTACCACGTTGTCTAATATTCTTCATATTTAACAATGCTATGCCAACTTTGTTTTTTTATTTTTTACGCAAAGTACACTGGTAGTCCTCACATTTTGGTCGTTGTATCATTTTGGTCATTGTAGTTTCAATTGGGTTGATTTTAACCATGAATTTACGATTTTGTTTGATCCAATTCATTACAATTGTCAACATTTTCTTTTTTATGGAAAATGCTTCGCATGTGTCACACTTTAAGAGACAAAATTATAAATTTACTCAGCTCAACTATTGAGTTAATCTCCACTAACTCAGTGATTATTTTTGTCAAAAATTGTAATTGCGTTATTAATTTGATTAAATTGATGCAAATTTAAAATTAATGATCAAAATTGAAAGTTTAGGAACCAAAATAATATAAGGGGCAAAATGTAAAGCCTGCTGGTGTAATTTATCCCTTTGTGTGTGTGTGTGTGTGTGTAGATGCTTTAAGAATAAGCTGGAAATCAGCTTAAGCTGAAAGTTATAAGTTATAAGCTGTTTAGGCATAAGCTATAAGCACTTTCCCACAGCTCTACCAAACAGGGCTATTATTATTTTTGTCAAAAATTGTAATTGCGTTATTAATTTGATTAAATTGATGCAAATTTAAAATTAATGATCAAAATTGAAAGTTTAGGAGCCAAAATAATATAAGGGGCAAAATGTAAAGCCTGCTGGTGTAATTTATCCCTTTGTGTGTGTGTAAGTCCTTCAAATATTTCTATTTTCATTTTGCTTTGGAGTTCGAGGTTTGAACTTTTATACATTTCATGAATATGAATTTATGCCATTTTTCTAAGAAAAGTCAGGCTCTTCTATTTCAAATGATTCCCAAATTTTGAAAAAAAATTACACTTACTCAAAAAAATATATATTTAAAAAAAAGTGTCCAGTAAATAAAATGTGAATATGTTGTAATCCACATCATACAAGTCTTCTCGTACACTTTTTTTTTTTTTCAATCATTTTCTGAATTTTCTTAGTGCACAATATTTTCCAATTTTGAATCGAGAAGTTCATGTAATTGAATTGTTGACTATTATGACAATGGTTAGCATATATATGTTGGGGGTAGCATAAGTCGTGATAAGTGTAGGACACTAATCTTCGGTATCTCTGTAATCTCTCTGTAATCTCTTGTAATATTTTTGATTAGTAACTGTATATGTAACCTAATTTGTGATCAACTATGAAAATCTTATTTGTATTTATAATTTATTTTTCTTGTGCATTTGTTCGTTTATGTATTTCATATTTCACCGATCCGAATCCCTAACAATATAAAATGTAACAAAAAAGCACTAAAATTATAAATGCATAATATAATTAAATTAAAAAGACATGATTGCATGTAAATTAAACAACTACAACATAGTCATGACATATATATATATATATATATTTACCTGAACATGTTTGGCTCTAACATAAGGACTATCACCAGGAGGAAGCTTGTGAGTGACATGATATGAATTTGATTCTTCTTTCTCACTCTTTCTTTGACAATTAATCATCTTCAAACTCCCCTTCATTTCTCTCTCTCTCTAAAAAAACTCTTTATTTTCTCTCTCTAGATTGGGAGTTTGGGACTGGTAAGAGAAATTTGGAGGTGGGAGGCCATCTCCAATGGAGAGAGAGAGAGAGAGAGAGAGAGAGAGAGTCAGAGAGAAGGTGAAGAGGAGAAGGATTTGCATTAGGAATGAATGTGGACGCGAAGCCATCTAGGTTCCTGCTCGTTGAATTTTTGGGTAAGTCATAGAGGATAGCTGTTCGCCACGTATGTCTATTCGACGCGTGTCGGAATGACATAGATTAAGCAGGAGGCGTGCCGTTGGATTTGATTGTTGGATTCGTTGGATTCGAAAACAGCTACTTTGGGAATCCCCTCCAATACGGATGTAGCTTTCGCACAATAGTGACTGTTGTACATTAATTTAAAGTGTATTATGAATTTATTTTTATAATTCAAACCGTTCATTTGTTTGTTGAGTTTTTCATTTCTATTAAAAATTATATTAATAGGATATCAATAACTATATGATCAAATTACATATTTTTTATGCTATTCTCAAAAGAAAAACTTATTGTTTATTTTTTAAGTTATCGATCATATAGTTATTGATATCCGATTAATATGATTTTTGATACGCATGAGGTACTCAACAAACCTTACAAATTAAACGATTTAGATTATAAAAATAAATCCATAATACACCTCAAATTGAGGCACAATACCTTTAGCACAACAGTGACCCCATTTCCTACACGTAGGTACCTTAGTTGGAGAAATTATGAATTTGTTTTTAAATCATTATTTTAAATTAAAATTTATAATCAAATAATTTTTTAAAAGGTAAATCACACAAATATCCTTTTGAGATTTCTATTTAATATAAATTCATTTCTCATAATTGAAAAATTATATTTACTCTCCTATTAGATTAAAATTATATATTTACCCTTAACCTTTATACATATAAAATAATAAAATAATATTAATATTTTGTTTATACCATTTCAAGTGAAATAACAATCATCTTCTTTAATTTAACTCACACACAAAATTATTATTTTTTTTGTAATGATTTTTTTAATATTTTAAGTAATTTTTTTTATTTTTTAAATACAGCTAATCTAGATATACTTAAGAAATATAATATTTTGTGTTTTTTTTTTAAATTCACCAAATATAAAAAAAAATAAAAAAATTCAGTAATACCGTAATAATTGTGAATGTCGGTGTTTGATAATATTGAAATAAATGTGGGTGAATAGACTAGAAAAAAATGATGGGGAAAATAAAAATGAAAAATTATATTCATATATAAAAATTTAGAGTTAATTACCTAAAAGTCCTATCTACACATTTGGCGACAGCTTAGGTCCTATCAAAAAGAAATTGAACCAATAAGTCTCATATACAGGTAAAAAGACGTTTTGCCCTTTAATCCCAAAATTGAGAATGTTCACAATTTTAAAACTGATAATGTTCTCAATTTAGAATTATCAAAATTAGGAAATTTCTCAATTTTTTTTCTAGTATGAACTGAGATATTATCAAAGCTATCAAAACTAAAAAATTTATAATTATCAATTTTGAGAATTTTCTCGATTTTTTCATGATTAAAATTGAGAATATTATAAATTGAGAAGGTTCTCAATTTCAAAAAACCCCTAATATTGTCCTCTATGTTGATCGGTTAGACACACAAACAAGAGATCTTAATGATTTGCCTTTGTTAAGGTCAATAACTAGTTTGCTTGATTCTTCAATATGGCATAATGCCATTGTTACCCTGACCCATGCTGCGTCTAGCCCCCCTGATGGACCGTCTGGTTCACCCTTAAGCAATGATTTGTTTGTTACGCAAAGATCACGAGTTGTTCTACAGTTGATTAGCCAAGCAGTTGGTGATCTGCGTATGATGAATCCAAATCAAATGAGTCCGGTGTCTCTTGTCGAAAACCACCCATTAGGTCAAAAGAGGGAAGATAAGCAAGTAGTGCTTCCCAGTGGAGAATGCTGAAGACCCCGATTATTGCTTTTGTGCTACTCAATGAAGCTCTTATCTGAGGCAAATTCTGCGACGAAAACTCAAGATCTTTTTGATCATAGAAAGCTCTTTGGCTTCAAGGCTCGTGCTCTGCCCCTACACTATTTATTGTCTTCTCTATTGCAGTCCAATGCTCATCCAAAACTTTTATCTAAGCAAGGCGATAACAATATTGACTCGGAAGGTCGGCGCTAGAGCCGACGACGCTTTGGACGGAGGGGAAGGAGGAGTCATACGGAAGAGACCAGAGACTGGGTCTGTGGGGAGGAGAGAGAGCGCGTGTCTGGTGAGGAGGTCTTGAAAGGGTAAATTGGCCTATTAAAAATTAATAGGACTTAGAGGAGCAAATAATGGATTATAAGTTTACAAAATGGGACTTGTATGTAAAAGCCCCAAAAATTTATACAAAAAATATCATAAAAATATTGTGATAGCGATGTTGTAAATATAAATCATGTTTATGGGTGTTTTATTTTAAAGTGAAAGGTCACCATTGAGCTATATCATTGTGTTTGAAAATTTTATATAAAATTTATGTTTGTATATCATCACTTAATAAGAATATGTTCAGGTAGAATTTAATGATGGAAAGTTATAGAATGTAGTCATGATGATAGGAAGAAGAAATGGCAAGAAAATGGGAAAATGGTCATTTTAAAAATTTTATGACATAATATCTATAATAGCCCGACCCCCGTACATGATTCTGGCATCTTTTCAGTCCTCTATTCTGCGTTTTTGGGTGCTTATTGTGAAATTATGTTGAATTAAGAGAATCTTGGAAATAAGGATTCCTATCTGTTTAATAAGAAAACTATCTGTCACACCTAAAATGTTTGCATCTGAAATTGGAGGCCTTAGAGGCTTAATTGTCTGAAATTGGTTTCGCATTTGGAATCTGCATGATTTTTAAGCTATTGTGGGATTTTCTATGAAATTTCAATTTAGGATGGTTAAACGATTGAATTTTGTTTTATTTGCCTTTAAATATATACATATATATATATATATATAGGCTTATGTCCCTTACATGTTGAGTCAAGAACTTTGGTTTAAAATATCTCTCTAAAGGAACTCTAAAGAAAGGTTTAGAGGAGAGTGTTAGAGAAGGTCATCAAGAAAGGACTTTAGGAAGTTGAGAAGTTATTTGAAGATTGGAGTTCAAGGTGAGCTCAATCCCTCTAGTTTCATTCCCTTTTCTTGCTTTAGGGTAGAAATCCTTTGGTATTACATGATTTAGAATTGCAAGGGAAGTCTTGAATATGTTAATCTTATCATTCATTTATCTTTCTCTAACTTGAGTCATCTAGTAGAAAGATGCATCTTGTTCCCTTACTTATTGAGTTTACATACACCCTTATGATCATGGTTTCATGTGTGTGGGTATGTGTATATGAAGATGGAATAATATGGAATTAACTTATATTGGTGAGCCTAAAGTTAATGATCTCATTTACGTTAGCTTGATGTAGGTGAATGTAATTCTATTTACATGATTTTTTAACCTATTGGAAGCCTTGTGATCATCTACAAAAAATGGGGTTTTGTTTGGAAAATTCGGACTGAAAATATACAGAATCGCCGCACGTGCGGGAGTCATGGCCGCACGTGCGGGAACAACTGTCGCACGTGCGGGAAAATGGAAAAATTTGGAGTTTTGGTTCTGCTTAAAAGGCACGTGCAGGACCATTCTACCGCACGTGCAGGAGAGTTTGCCGCACATACGGGGCTCATAGCCGCACGTGCGGTCCACGGTGGAAAATTTGGGATGCTCCGTTTTGCGTGTTGGACCCTCTAAAATTGTCAGAATCTGCATTTGATGTTATTTTGATGTCTTTTAATTCAGTCGAAGTTAAGCGAGTCCGGGAATGATTTAAGGAAGAAAAGAGAACTAATTTGTAATATTGTGTGTGTGTGTAGGACACGCTTCGAAAGGAACTAGTACTCTGCCTCCATACGGTGAGTAATAGTACAATGAATGTACGCTTGTTACTATAAATGTTAATGATATTAACGTTCTGATTTCCGTAAATTCTTACGTTAACATGTAGATCGATTGGAATTTGGTGGGAATGTAAACAATGATAGCATTATATACATCTGTATATTTTTGGGCCGAAAGGCTGTTCTGTATATTTCTGGGCCGAAAGGCTGTTCTGCATATTTCTGGGCCGAAAGGCTGTTCTGTATACTTCTGGGCCGAAAGGCTGTCGGGGCCGAAAGGCTATTCTGTTATTTCTGGGCCAATAGGCCGTTCTGAAAGAAATACCGCATCAGACTAATGACGTGGATTCCATTCTTATGAATGCACTGTTATGTATTATGTTTTAAATTGCGTATTAAATCGATTAAGTGTTGTTATTCACTGAGCTTATCTCACTCTGTAATTTTGTTTGATTCTGTAGGTAACCAACTTGGAGGTCAATCCTAACATCGATATCATCTATCTTTTGTCAACCTAAGTACAACCAGGCACTTGGAGAAGCCCTTTGCATCTTAGTACAGTTTTTTTAAATTTTGTTAGCTTATACTCTAATTGCCGGCCAAGGTTGAATTGTATCTAATGTTTTGTTATATGCCCAATTTCTGGGTTGGACTTGTAAATATATATATATATATATACGTATATATGTACCTTGTTCTCTGATGCTTGTTCCCTATATGTTTATTTGCTAGTCGTGATCCTGGCATTTTAGTAGTGGCTCAATGGATATGTTTTCATGTTATTTTCTAATATCAAACGCTTCCGTTCAGGCCCCATAGAATATATGTATCAGGTTAAGTGTTCAATTCTGAATAGGTCATGCCCAAAACTTTTAGGGGCGGTTTAGGGGCGTGACAAGTGGTATCAGAGCACGAGTTGCTATCTCATACACAGATCCATTGAGCTCTAGGATGTCTAGCAAGATTTAGGCATCATGCATAAATGAAAGATTGATAGCAACGTCATATGTCTTTTGCTAACGCTAACGATCATGAACCGTGTTATTGTATCTTCTTGTATATGTTGTAATTATTTGTCTTGTAGAATATGGTGCGAACAAGGACAGAAAACCCGGAGGAAGCTACCTCAGCACGGCTGGACAGGATGGAAAGAATGATTATGGAAATGGCAGAGACCTTACGGCAACAACAACA